GCATACTGAACATTCATTAAATATAGTTTAAATATTTTTGACCGATCAACAAGCGCCGAATTTAGCTTTTTTTTTGCTTTGGCCACCAAAGAAGCTAAAATCTCTTTTCTTTTGTACTTATATCCTAACCACTCTAAAAGTATTTCTGAAACATCTGTGCAAAGATTACTCATACAATGAGTATGAATAGTTCAAGTGCAGAAAGATGTACAGTTTTCATGCTTTTTGAAATAAGGCAGAGTTCTGAATTTACTCTCCTCCAACTTGGGATCTCTGTTTTTTGTTGTAATTCCTTTATTATTTTTTATATTATTTTTTTTTCCATAAGCAAATTACTTTGGGGAGAGATGTTTCTCTGCCAGCCCTAAAAAAGTAGTTTCTCCTATGTAGTCATCTTAACACAATTTGAACATCCTGACCAGCCCATGAAACCCTGTTCAAGCTCTTTTTTACAAGTGGCTAGATTTCCTGCTTGCCCCAACACCATTTCTAGATTCCCCGAAGTCAGTTCAACCACAAAGTCAGCATAGCCTTCCTCAGAGATGTTGTAATTTTGGGTATGTGCCTGAGAACCTGCAGACTGTTCCACATATGGCTCTGTCAAAACCTGGCGCTTCATGGATTAACCATAATGTAAGGTTAGCTGTTCAAGAAAGAGAAAGGCTTTGATCTCTGGGTAGAAATGCAAAGATTAAAAGGCTACTTAGAAAACTGAAGGAAGATTGATAAGATGGAAAACCTGGGTAAAGTAGCTGCTTTAAATTAACTCTTTGAAGCCCAAATCTGTCTCTCTTCCTCCCTTTCTCCCTCTCTCTCAGTACACACCTAAGTATCCATTTGGCTGTCAATGTGGAAAAATAACTGATGTCAGATGATGCACTCTGGATATTATGCCAAATTCCAGTGACAAATCACACAACTATTGAAACCGAGGATTAGAGAGCAAGTAAGTGTTGGGGTTGGGCTATATTGCTTGTCTTCTACAAGAGGTGCCAATTGCAAGTGTGATTCATAGCCAGGGCTTTGTGAAACTGATGTAGGTGTGCCACTGGAATGCAGTGAGGTGTGAGCAAGCCCTGCCTTTTGGCTGTGCCCAGAAGGGTAGGAGATATCTTGTTTGTTCATAGAGCAAGTGTTGGAATTTACCCTGGATTTGGTCCACAGAAGATGAACACACCAAGAGACGTCTCTAGACATTGTTGAGTTGCCTATCAGGCGCTGTCACGATTTGGCAGTTAACATATGATTTGTATATCACATGCAGTGAGCATAAAAAGAATATTTAAGAGTTGCACATTTGAAGCCAACAGTGCAAAACAGGGAGGAAATTTTAAAGGCATTGATGAATGTCTCAAAAAAATCCTTAGTTAGGTAGGTCAGTGACAGAACCAATCACAAAGTCTAATCTCTAGTCTAAATAGCTAGACTCAGGGAAAAAAAAATAAAAAAAACAAACAAAAAAATTAACCAAAGACTTTTGGGAAGCTTTTCTATTATTTGCAGCAACTGCACTTTGGAGAAACACTCTTCCAGGCTTGTCCTTCTCAAACTGGGCAAAACATGTCCTTCTTAGCTAAGTGCAGTGCTCAATTAGAAAGTGGTATTAGCTGTTATATCTTGGTATTATGCTTAATGTCTTGAATAAACTAGAAATGAATGACTTAATCACAGCAGAACATCTAATACTGTCTTGTGAATGATTTGGAGGAAATAATTAGAATTAAAATTTAATTTGACACATTGGACAAATGATCTGAAAGTAATTAGGTAAAATTTCCTGGTGTCAATTGTAAAATAGTACAGTTATGAAGGAGAACTCAAGTGAAAGTAGGAATAAGCAGGAGTCTTATTTCCTGCTGGTTTGTTTTTATGACTTGTTGGCTGTCAGGAATCAAATTCTTAAGTATCAGATTTTGTTTTCTGTTGGGAATCCTGGAAGTTTCCCTCAAGAGAAGTGGGCACCCACAAGTGCTGACAGTGTTTCTCATTTGAGAATTTCTATGGCATAACAGAGAGCAGGGGAAAATGAGCTACTGCTAAATGAGCTGGATCCTGATATTCGCAAATGGCAAAAATCCTTTTTCAAAGAAATTGCTGCAGAAGGAATGAATACTTGATTCTACATACAAATTGATTCTCAAGATGATTAAAAACAGAGAGGGTGTATAAGTCGCATATCTCTTCTGTTATGGAGGTCAGTGAATTAAGATAATAATGATAAAAATGCAGTTTTCAAGGAGTGTGTCCTACTGCAATCAAGCACATGATGCTGAAGAATTTACATGAACAGCAGACTCTGAACAGGAAGAGCAACTGTGAGGAACACAAAGGAATCTTATCAGATTTTCCTCTCTAAATTTCCTTGTACATTTTTAGCTAACACAGTTTTGAATTTTCTAGGTAGTTTGCAGTATTTCTCTCAGGTGAGAAGTGCATTTGTTCACTGCTTCTCTCTGTATGAAACACAAGTGAAATTCTGGCCCAAATAACTCAATGAAGCCAGGGTACTGCCTGAAGAGGATGAGTGGTTTGATTAGCATCATGTTGGAGGTCTGCTGGAAGGCTGGATTTAGAACCTGTATTGGCTGTTTTCCCATCCCATGTAAATAAAAATGAGGGACATTATAAAATTGGCCTGTGATTGTTATCTTTGAAAAGAATTACTCCTTACATTTTCCCCAGCTGTCACATACTGGTCTTTTTAATTCTGTACTTAGAGATGACTTCTAAGATCCCTGTACCTAGAGCTCTTTGACAAAATGGGGAGGTGAGAAAAAAAAACAGGACAAACTTCCTGGTTTCTGGCACATTTGCAGACTGTTCACTTATTGTCTTTTCTGTCAGTTCTCTTAGCAAAGGGACTATCTTCCTTCTCCTTTCCCATGTGGTTTCATGCCATAGCTGGTCAGTCAATAAAGGGTAATGGAGGAGAAATATATATAGCTTTCTTCTATGCTATCACAAAAAAATATTTTTTCCTCTGCAATTTGCAAGACAGAAAGACTTCAATATGGACAAAATTCTACTACTAGCAATTCTAAAATGTCTGTCACATTTATTGTTCTCACTCTACATAACTATCACAGGGTGTCTGAATTCTTTACGGTTATGAGCACATTCAACGATGATACATTGAAAAAAATATGTACACATTTATTTTTTGGAAGCAACTGACCAGAAAAGAATCTCTTGTCAACAAAATCTAGCACTGTACACCAGGCAGAAGAGAAGCCAACCAGAACTGAGGAACATGGGAAATAGAAATTCTTTGGATGTAGCACAATGGCTTTAACCAACAT